ATTTAAATTTCCTGATACACAGTTCATTCCTGATTTCAACAGAAAGAGCGTTCCACAGTTTAGGGGCCGCAGATTGAAAATCCCTGTCACCTAAAGTTTTTTTACATTCCCCACTAGCTGGATTTAGCAGAGTGCCCTTATGATTCCGGAGGTTATWCCTAGAAACCTTACTTACTGAAACCAAATCAGACAAATAATGTGGTGCTAGCCCACGTAAACATTTAAATGTTAACAGTAGTATYTCAAAATGAATGCGATATCTAATAGGTAACCAGTGTAAACCAAAAAGAACTGGTGTGATGTGGCAAAAACGAGGAAGCCCTACAATAACCCTGGCAGCAGAATTTTGCACTCTTTGTAACTTATTKACATGAATATCAGGAAGCCCATACAATAAACTATTACAGTAATCAAGTTTACTCACTATCCCATAATACTTGTGCATTGAACAAAATAAACTTTAAGGTGGCTGCAAGCAGTTTTTATTTGAATTCAGTTTAGTAAATGATAATTTCTACCTCACCTTCAAGATTGATCATATTTTAAAACCAGATGGACCGGGATAAAAGATTACAGTGATGTAGGTTTCACTTTAACCAGCGTTACCATAGTAATGATAAACACGGGTACCTGCTAAATTAAAAGTAGACTTGGTGTTCGCATTTGGTCCCTTATTTCCTTAGTCTCCCCCACAGCCGCTTTCAGTGTCGTCACGCAACGCTTTCGACTATCATTTCCTCTGCGTGCATTTGAATGTCTCACATGAGCTACACTTCAGTTTTTTCCCCTTCTATATTTCGTTTTCCTTTCATTGGATGTTTAAAAAAAACATCCTTGTGTCCAAGTTTCTTAATTAAATAATTAGAAAATATACTTTGATTTTCTCCTCAAGTTTGCGGATAAGTGTGTTTTTTTTCTTTTTCAAAACGCATCCTACATGGAAACTGAGGAGTCGACAATTAGTGCTAAGTTATCATTGAATAACACGACATATTGGGTCTGCTGGCCATAGCTAGCAAGGGGTCAATCATCAATCATCAACGGTCTGGGGGCAAACTAACATCTCCCTGATTAACCTGTGAATTCAGGGTTACCGGCCGTCGGGGCCGAAATCKCCGGCATAGCTGTAAATGCTTTACGCTGCCATACTGCTCCTTAGCACTACGCCTAAGTTTGGATAATAATCAAAAAAGCTGGAGTCAGTACTTAGCACATAAAATTTTAAACAGCTTAACCATATGTTGAACTACGACCTCCCATATACAATATCATAGAAAATCACTTTATAATATTAARCAAGTGTCGAAAAATAACGAAAAGAGAAGAGGAGAGAAAGGAGAATATTTACCAGTCCCATCCCCCTCCCCGCTTGGGATTATTAGACTTCAAAACTCCAAGGGGACTGAGCCCTAGCTTTCCAAAACAAAATGGCGGACAACGAAGCACATTTGCTGGAGAAAGAACAAAGTTTAGACTTTCTTTCTGCAAGCTTTGATCCTCTTAAAGCTCTATACACAAAAGATCTAAAACCTCCTATACCTAGTATACAGGTTTTTAACAACCTTGGTGAATATGCACGTRTTATTAAGGAGGGAAAACCCAAAGCTGTGGCGCCAAAAGATCCAAGAAAAACAGCAAGCTTACGTCGTGCATCGAGTAAGAGGACAAGGAACTTGAAGCCAGAATACAAACCACCTGATATTAGTACAAGATTAAAAGCAATAGCAACCACTACGGTAGCTCAAGGAGATTCGTTATCTAGTGAGAAGCGAGTTAGTATTTCTGGCCAAGATGAAGATGGTTTGTCAAAAGAGCAGGGRAAAAATGCCTTGGGTTTTGGGAGAGGACAAAGCAGAAAGAAAAAATATATGAATGTGCTGGAGAAGATGGACGGTAAGTGAAGCCACAATATGATAAACAGTAATTCTTTGAAAAAATAACTCAAACTTACCCAAAAAGTTTTAAATACTGAACCTGTAGATAATAACAGGAATTAACTCTAAAAATGAAATGGGTACATGTGTGCATGGACCTTTATCACACGGCAGCCATGTTTATCCTCGTGAGAATAAAAACCTTTGTTTCAAACTCTTGTATGCGAGGCTACGCATGGTAGAATCTATTGTTCCAACCAACATGGCTGCCGTGTGAAAAAGGCCCATTGGCAGGAAAATGGTACATTGACCTCTGATGCCTGAGACCCTGCTACGCCCCTGTGTTTATCAACTAATTGTTATTTTTTCAGCATGTGCCACTGGGCCCCTAAGCATACTTTACAAATGTCTGTACGAGAGATACAAGGTGCAAGTATGGATACGAAAGTACAAAGGATTAAGGAGTGTCTTAACTGGATATGTTATTGCCTTTGACAAGCATATGAACTTGGTGAGTATAATCTACTGGGAGGGGAGGGGAGGGAAGGGAAGGGAAGGGAAGGGAAGGGAAGGGAAGGGAAGGGAAGAGCAATTGATAAGGGGTACCAGGGCTTAAAATAATGGCTGGTCAAGTCGGTGGTTATCATTATCAGCTCATTTCTGGCTCGACGTTACTGGTCAAGATGACCCGCAAGGCAAAGATTTGACAGGACAAGTTCCAATTTTGGCTGACATTGACCAATGACTGGCTTTTTTTTTTTTTTTTTTGAAAGCCCTTATACTGTAAGTCATCATCTTGGAAAGTAGGGTGGGTACAATCTTTTGCATGGACAAAATAGGCAAAGAGGTCTTTTAGAAGATCTTGAGAGATTTGTCAGAAACAGACTACACAATGAAAATATGGGAACCTTGGGGTAAGGGGGGAGGGATTGGAGGGAGAAGTTGTTTCCATACCAGGGTAGTCGTCCAGGAAGAAAAGACTCAAATAGGGTGGAAGGAAGGAGGGGAAAGGATGAGAGGAAAAACATGATTGGATGGGCTACACATTAAATATGATAGCCTAGCTATGCTGGAATCAGACCAACCAACCAAGACCTCAGCTTTTTGATTATCTTGGTAGTTTTCACACAGAAAAATATTCCTGTAATAAGACAAGTCTATTTAAATCTTGTAGGCTTTGATGGATGTTGATGAAGTTTACACAACTGAAGATTTCCACAGGAATGAATGCTGTTCAAAGGAGGGAGGGAAAACAAAGAAGAAAAAGAAGAAAAAGAAAAGAAAACAGAAAAGTCACTTAAATCAGATAAAAGAAAACCTTATGGACACAGATAAAAAAGAAAATATTTCTGTAGGATATATTCCACCATGTGATAAAATTACTGAAAAATCTGTTCTTGAATTGAAAGAAAATTTTATACCCCCTTCAATTGAGAGTACTACAGCACAGGATGTTGGAACAGATTTGACACAGGTTGTTGACCTAAACAGACCATTTAAATCTTTAAAATCAGATAGCCGAAAAACAGTATTTAAGAGCAGCGGCGAAGAAGGTACACAATTTACGATAATGAAAGATGAAGAAACAAGTTCCTCATTGGTAACAACTAAGGAAAGTGAAAAGACAGAAATGCTTTCTGCAGACCAGCTTGCTGTCCTGAGCAGGCAGTGGGCTGATCAACAAAGACAGGAGAGTAAAAACGCTCTTGATTCTCAACAACAAATCAATGACCTAACAGAGTCATCAATGGATATAGGTTCTGAGCAAACTGGCTATTTATTTTCCCATGATTTAAAAGTGAGAGTACCTGCACAAGAAGACATGGAGTCACAAGATATGGAATTCACTGTAGTTGGGATTTTTCAACCAGCTTCTGTGATAGAAAGCAATAATGATAGAAGTGCGATGTTACCCGATAATCTTGAAATTAATGTCCCTCTTTTGTTCTCAGACAGTATTGTTAGAAAGGAAGGAGTGAAAGACCACACAGCACAACTGGACAAACCTGTTACACCTGATACAGGACTTGTTTTGCCTTGTGTAGATAAAGATGGAGAATTGAAAGCCCATTCTTTGCAATCAGACAATCCTGTATTACCTGATTCAGAGCCTGCTTTGCATAGTGGTGATTCAAATGACCTAGTTATGCAACTGGACAAACCTGAAGAACCTTTTTCAAAACCTGTTTTGCATGGTACAGATATATGTGGTGATTCAAATGACCAAGTTATGCANAAACCTGTTTTGCATGGTACAGATATATGTGGTGATTCAAATGACCAAGTTATGCAACTGGGCAGACCTGAAGAACCTGTTTCCAAACCTGTTTTGCATGGTACAGATATATGTGGTGATTCAAATGACCAAGTTATGCAACTGGGCAAGGCTGAAGAACCTATTACAGAACCTGTTTTGCATAGTATAGACATTCAACTCGATAAACCTGAAGAACTTGTTTCAAAACCCGTTTTGCATAGTACATATGTAGGTGATGATTCAAATGACCAAGTTATGCAACTGGAAAAACCTGAAGAACCTGTTTCAAAACCAGTTATGCATATCAACAATAGAAATGAACAGGCAAATGGCAAAGTTATACAACCAGATAAACTTGTCACACCTACTGCAGAATCGTTTTTGAACATTATCGATCTAGATGGGAATACAGCTCAAAATGATGAATCCCTTGCTTCAGAAACTGGCATCACTAATGGAAAGTCTCTTGTTTGCGAGGGAAGATCCGAAGAAAGAGACTTGTCACGTGTTTGTGATTTTAGTGATCATGATATCACTACAGGTAACCCCAACGATGAATCAGTTACTGCGGTAAGTTGTGACACTGGTGAAGACTCTATTATCTGCGAGAGAAATCCTAAGGAAGGAGATTTATCACGGGAACTCGTCACATTGAACCCAGAAAGACTCAACCCTCAAAAAGAGGTGGGAAATTATTGCGGACGTTTGGGAGAATTGGACGCACGCGTTGAATCTGAAGAAGAAGAAAAGACTACGCGTTTACAAGTAAGTACTGCACAAAACGAAGATGAAAGCAGTTCGTTGGAAGGCGAAGACGTAAAGAAAACCAAAGAAATATGCCTAACTATCGAGGAAAATGAGAACAATTGCAATAACAATAAAATTGAATATCAGGGAGTGAGTGAAAATATTGGAAATGTGAACCAGGAAGAACAATGTTGTGACTTGGAAAAAGAAAAGGTTGAAGAGAGTAGTACAGGAGAACCAAGACAGAAAGAGAAGACTGACACTCGTCAGGATAGTAGATGTCAGCTGGATGGGAAGAATAAGGGTATCGAAGGAAC